GCATAGAGAAGAGAGGTTGATGGCTCAGGGCTGCTGGGTACAGTCACATGGCTGTCACTGTGTGTGACTCTGCCAAGAAGCAACCTTAAGGATTACCACCTTACATACGTGTATACAATGGAATATTACTCAGCCATAAAAAGGAACGAAACTGGGTCATTTGTAGAGACGTGGATGGACCTAGAGGCTGCCATACAGAGTGAAGTAAGTCAGAAAGAGAAAAACAAGTATCGTATATTAACGCATATATGTGGAATCTAGAAAAATGGTACAGGTGAACCGGTTTGCAGGGCAGAAATAGACACAGATGTAGAGAACAAACGTATGGACACCAAGGGGGGAAAGTGGGAGGGGTAAGGTGGGATGAACTGGGAGATTGGGATTGGCATATATACACTAATATGTATAAAATAGATAACTAATAAGAATCTGCTGTATAGCACAGGGAACTCCACTTCACTGTACAGTAGAAACTAACACAACATTGTAAAACAACTGTACCCCAATAAAAAAGAAAAAGAAAAAAAGGATTTACCACCTTACAGGTGTGAGTGGTGCGAGTGGAGAAAAATCTAGCAAAGGAAATGGAAGAAGGAGCGCTTGGACAGGTATGAAGAAAATCAGGAAGGACTTTATCAAGGAAGTTAAGGAAGGGAATGGTTAACAGTTTCAAATACCCAGAGAATTCAAATCAAATATGAGCTGATGAGTTTATGAGCTGGTATAGGAACATAACCAGTATTTACAAATTGTTGTTGGTTTGTTTGCTGGTTTTAGCAAAATATTATTAAATGGTATTCTGTGTCAGCATGAGGGAAGAAAGGCATAAGATCAAAATAACTCAAGTTCTTTAAAAGGGGTTGTTGGGAACCAAGAGATATTCTCTCAATAAGTGCAGCAAAGCCATTTTTCCCCCCTAGTGTTGGAAGAGTTAGCTGTTCCTTTGTAAGTAGTTTGCTTGTATGTGGAGATCATGTTAAATGAAAAATGTGTTTCTTTAAATGTTAAAGTGTGGTGAGATGCTCAGTCTGAGAGCTGCGTGGGCACTATGACCAGCTGAGGGAAGAGCAGATTGAGTGAAATGACAGGCAGGATTGTCCACACTGTTTAAATTCTTCTTTCTCTCTTGCTTTGTACATATTTGCCATGTTGTTATCATTGACTTTGGGTAAGTTAGTTGCTCATATGGAGCAACTCCACTGTGTGTTCCAGAGCGGGAGAGATGAGGGAGAGGTAGGAAGGTTGAGAGAGCAGTGTGTTTGTGGTTTGCCCTGTGTTGTTTCTTTTATTTGGGGTTTTAAATTTTTCTTATAATATTGCTCAAAAATCTTATCAGATACGCATGTCTGTGTGATATTTCATTGATTTAGAACTTTGTATCATGTTTTAGATTTTACAAATTGTCATGTGTATTTGTTGCTTAATGCTGGAACAGCTTCATTAGGTAGACAGGACAGATTTTTTAATTTTGGGGGGGTTTGTTTTACCAAAGATTCAAAGTTAAGCTACTTGTCAATATCATAATAATCCTGTGATCTTTTCATACCATATTGTTCATCCAAAAAGCATACCAAATTGTGTGTGTGTGTGTTGTTTCAATGTAATTAATTTTATTTTAAGGAAACATATACATGAATTGAAGAGTTGTCTTCCTCTGGGCATTTTGGTGTCTTTTTGCTCTGCCTTTGTTTTTTACGTTCTTGTTACCAAATAGGGTCTTTTAGAACTCTCTGAGAAGAAATAAAAGTTCATAAAATTTTGCATCACGTGTTAACTGAGGAAAAATATCAAGTCTGTATGTAGTTTGAAAAGATTACCCACCCCACCCCCAGAATATTGTGGTATCTTAGAGTGGAGCTCCTAATATAATTTGTATACTGTTTGAGTTACTGGTCATGACATTAGTTAAGTGAGGGTGTCAGCATTTAAAAATAATGAAATAGAATAGAAAATATCAGAGTGCATTGCACATGATAGAAGTGTTACCTCCTGATACTTTTGTTTCGGAAATATATATATGTATGTATGTACTGAGGCACGGGTATAAAATGTATTTCCTTACTGTGGGTCATGGTCAGAAAAGCTTGTAAACACTGGCTCAGAAAACTCTCGTTCATTTTATCTTCTTCCAGCTTTTGTTACATTATTGAATGGAGAACAAGCCCAGAATGCAATTCAGATGTTTCATCAATATTCATTTCGAGGAAAAGACTTAATAGTCCAGCTCCAGCCAACAGATGCTTTGCTATGTATTACCAACTTGCCCACTTCTTTTACGTTAGAAGAGTTTGAAGAACTTGTTCGTGCTTATGGAAATGTCGAGAGATGTTTTCTGGTCTACAGTGAAGTTACTGGCCATTCCAAAGGCTATGGATTTGTGGAATACATGAAAAAGGACTTTGCTGCAAAGGCTAGGTTGGAGCTATTGGGTAAACAGTTGGGAGCATCAGCTGTCTTTGCACAGTGGATGGATGTTAATCTCTTGGCCGCAGAGCTCATTCATTCTAAGTGCCTTTGTATAGATAAACTCCCTAGTGACTACAGGGATTCAGAGGAGCTGTTGCAGTTTTTTTCCAGTATCCATAAACCTGTGTTTTGCCAGGTATGTATTTTTAAGTCATCATTTGAAATATGTAAAAATATCTGCATATGTATCTGCATGCACTCACGTATTTATTATACCTATGTAAATATCACAATGGATAATCTAATTCTAGTTGAGTCTGTAATGAACACTTTAATATGATGGTAAATTTTATTTTAATTTATTTATTTTTGAATTTTATTTATTTTTTTATACAGCAAGTTCTTATTAGTTATCCATTTTATACATATTAGTGTATATATGTCAATGCCAATCTCCCAATTCATATGATGGTCAATTTTAAATCAATCCCTTTTGTTGATGGGCCAAACTATATTGTCTTTATATAATTAAGTATGTCTTAGCAAACCATCACATCCATCCACCTTCTCATTCCATCCACTCTTGAACCATTCATGCATTGATCCCTTTATCCACCCACATTTTGTTTATCACCTTCTCAGTTCCAGACACTATATTGCTAAATGTCAGAAATATAGAGAATAGAAAGATACTCTCTTAATACCGCACAAGTTTGTGGAAGAGACTGACAAGTAAGCAGATAATTGTAAATCCTGTATGAAGACTGATAATAATGGAAAATAGAAAAGTGTTATGAGGTGTAAAAAGAATGCATTATTCTATCTTAATGGGGTCATGGTAAGTGAGACATTTAGAGAAGATCCTGAAAACTGACAACACTGGTAAGAATTTTCAAGCACTCTGAGTAAAATTAAATATATTCTACTAAATAGGCAAAAATATATACAACTGAGAGGTTGTCTAGTCTAGCTTTCCATCTGGTTAAAAAAAAAAAGTTACAATAATTGTGAGTGATCATTTAGCTTCTGTTAAAGTATTTCAAAATAATGGGAAATTCACTAGGTCACAAGTCAGGCCATTGCATATTTACATGGCTCTCATACTGAATGTAAATATTCTTCTTTAAAACTGCTGACGCTATGGAATTAAAACGACTTTGTCTTTTGAAAGACTTAAAATGATAGTGTAATTTATTTGGCATGAAGGTTATAATGAACCAGGAATAATAAAAATATTTTAGAAGTTTTCAAAAGGTTAATAAAGCCACTCTACAATGCCTTTATCAGTAGATCTGTTAAACTCAGGCTCTCTCGCTTGGTAGGTTGACATAGACTATATGGAAGACACAGTCTTCTTACCTCGTGGTCAGAAGAGACCAGAGGGACTAACGGCTTTTACAAATCTGATTTTAAGATTTGGTTTGGTTAAAAGGAATGAGGTTGTAGGAGAAATGTTTGGAAGAGGTAGATATTTTTCCCTTCTCGCATGCGAATGGAAGAAGTTTTATGGAGGAAAAAAATATTTGAGGACAGTTTTAAAAGAAAGGGAGAATGTGAAGAAAAAATAGAAATTCGGTCTACTACACAGAAAGCTTCAAAAATAAGAAAAGAAACTAAAGGGACTGGAAAATGATTTAATTGTAGTATCAATTTATGGGATGCCAAATTCAAATAGAAGTACTGTAGATGTGTCTTCTCAAAGACGTACAAAGCTGAATTGTATCACATTTATCACTTTATAGCATCAGTGTGTTTAAGATGATTCAGACATGTTCAACACTTAGAAATTTTTAGTGTCTTATTTTGTTCTTACTTTTGCTCTAGAAACTTTTTAGTGTCTTATTTTGTTCTTACTTTTGCTCTTTGTACCAGTCTTTACAGATCCAGGACTTTAGTATCTTCTTTTACACTCTTACAGGTGGGTGACTGGAAATAAATTGAGTTCTGCATTGCAGGAGTTTATTTAGGGCACATTCAGAAAAAGGTTGTGTCCTGAATATGGTATTTTAAACAAACCTGGGGCACAGTTTTCCTAAATAAGGTTTGCTTTGGTATACTTGACCAAATTCCTGGGATCTGCCTAAAATATTGAAATAAACTTTGAATGTGGTTCCTTCTACCTTTCTTCTCTTGATAATGCAAATGTTATTTTACATAGATATATGATCCAGTAATTGTTCAGCATGTTTCATCGTCTGCGTATCTGTTGAATTTATTTTAAAGAAAGTTTTAATTATTGTGTTCCATATTTTTCTATAAATTCTCAGTTATATATATATATATATATATATATATCTTAATATATAGGGACTATTATCATTTGAACATTGACTTTTAAAATAAATCAGAGATTCAAAGAAGTAAAAAGAAACCGGACAGAATCTTACTTTTCCCATCTTCTAGAAGGACTGCATCTACCCAGCTAGTAAACTTTTATTTTCAGAAGGAAAGAATACATTATTTTCAACAGTATCATGCTCTGAGACATTTGTCCTTGAATTTTTAGATGATATACTTGTAAATAAGTATTTCTAGCTAAATATTAGAATTCCCTTTTTAATAAATGTATCACATCAGCTTGCACAGGATGAAGGTAATTATGTTGGTGGCTTTGCGGTGGTTGAATATAGCACTGCAGAGCACGCTGAAGAGGTTCAACAAGCAGCTGATGGTATGACCATCAAGGGAAGCAAAGTTCAAGTTTCCTTCTGTGCCCCGGGAGCACCAGGGCGGAGTACATTAGCGGCATTGATAGCAGCTCAACGCGTGGTAAGTTTGTTCTTTTTTTAGGATATAAAACAATTCAAGTAGTATTTTAATCTATCCAAACTAGTCAATCATTGATTGGACCTTCCTTCATTATATTTTTATTATGTAAAGATACCCTCCTTTTTTTTTTTGACTGGCTGAATGGTACCTCTGCCAAGTCAAGCCAGGAGTCAATGCAAAAGAAGAAACTGCGTTTCATAACGTGTATTCATCTCAAGAAAAAATTTTGAGGAAATTTCATTTATTCAGTAAATGTTTGAGTTCCTGTTCTGTAAGTTTTGAGTGCAAGGTGCCCCCTTTTTCAGTGTTCCTACATATCCATAGTAGAAGAAATGGGAGGTGGCACCTCATTTTTGTGCACATGGCACAGTTGCCGAGTTTCCAATTCTGAATACATCCAATCACCCACTTTGGCAGGTGGCACACTCTGTCCTCTTGGAGAAAAAGAAACAACTAGGTGGCTTGGTGGCCTTACAGATGTCTGGCATTTGTTTATAGCTGATCCCCCAGCCAAACTAGCTATCTCTTACCAGCCACTCTTCCATTTTCTACAGTGACTCTCTCAAATTTTCACTCTCCCTGTCTTTGTCCTTCTTTCTATCCGACGATCGTGGCTCCTACTTTATAGAAATATAAAGGCCATGTGCTGGACTCATTCATTCAACTTTTCTCACACTCCCCCAGAAAAAATGCCCCCATTTTTTCCCCTTAAATAGCATTCATTCCATAAATACTTTTTGGGTACCCACTGCATGCTAGGTATGTTAGAGATGTTTAGGATTCATCAGTGAACAAAACAAAGATCCCTGTTCTCTCGGAGGGAGGGCTGTGCCTCCTCCTGCCAAAGCAGGGGCTCATGCCCATGTCCCCCATCCTCAAGGATCTTCATCCTCACCTTTCGCCTTACTTTCACTTGTCACGAGCTCTATCCCATCTGCTTATAAATATGCTCAAATCTTTTCCTTTAAAAGTCCTCTCTAAATATGAGCCTTTGTAATACTTTCCCCTCACAGCTGGAGCTTCTTGAACAATTAGGTCCCACTCGTCACCTTTTCTTCTTTTCTCATTTCCCTCAGTCCAATGCAATCTAGTTTCTGCCGCCACTATTCAGGTGAATCTGTTCCTTTAAGATTAACAGGAATTTCTTAATATTCAGTCGAAAAGGTACTTCTCAGTCTTTCTTTGCCTGGTTTCTTTGGAACATTTAAAACCAACCTCCTGGGACTTCCTTGGTGGTCCAGTGGTAAAGAATCCACCTTCCAATGCAGGGGCCGTGGCTTCGATCCCTGGTCTGGGAACTAAGATCCCATATGCCGTGGGGCAACTAAGCCCACGCACCACAACTACTGAGCTCGCGCGCCTTGACGAGCGAGCCCTCGTGCCACAAACTACAGAGCCCACGTGCCCTGGAGCCCGCGCGCCACAACTAGAGAGAAAAGTAGTGAAAGATCCTGCGTGCCTCAACGAAGATCCCGTGTGCCGCACCTAAGACCCAACGCAGCTAAGAAAAATAAAAAATAAATATTAAAAAAAAATAAGACCAACCGCCTACTACCTTGAATTCTGCCTACCGTTTGTTTCCTACCTGTCTAACCGTCCCACCCCTTTCTTATCTTTCCTGAAGGGCTGCTATCAGTAGGCTTCTGTATTTGACCTCCTCACTTTCTTCCTCTTCAGCACTCCAGTGGCTTTAGTTATTGCCTATCAGTGATGATTTCCAAGCATATATTTTTGGACCCAGTTGCTCTAAGCACTAAATCTGTTTTTCCAAATGATATTTAAACAGCCCCCTTTTGTGTTATATTAATAGTTCAATTTCAACATTTCCAAAAGAAAACTACTTTTCTCTGGGACCTGCTTTTCTGCATTCTGTAATATCTGTGTATGGCATCAGTTCATTCAAACTAGAACTGTCTGAATTAAAAACTCAGTTAACCATGATTGGTCTTCTTCACCTACTCCCTAGATCAAGATGTCGAGAATATTAGCAAATCCTTTCCGTTCCACCTCCTGGTATCTATTAAATCCTTGAGACTTGTCAGCATCTTTGTTACTTTACTCAGGATCTCATTTTTCTCACCCTGATGGTTTGAATAACCTGCTGTGTGGTTGCCATGTCATTCATCTTCCGCATTCTAACCCATCTTCCACGGTGCCACAAGAGTGATCTTTCTCGTCCTCAAACCAGATTATGTCATTCTCTTGCTTAATATTCTTTAATGCGTGCCTAAGTCCAATTCCTTACCATGGCATACAGGGCCCTTCGTGATTAGGTATTAGTAACGGTGAGGAATCTTCCATTTTTCTCAGTCTTAAAAGTAATGTGCTGCATTGATTTTTTTTTTTCTGTAGGTTCTTGGTACATATCCTTTATCAAGTTTTCTGATTTAAAAAAAAATCATAAGTAGGTATTGATGTTTATCAGAGTATTTCTACAACTATTGTGATAATTTTATGTGACTTCTCCCGAAGTTCATTAATGTGCTGAAGCCATTAATGTGCTGAATCTGTTCATCCATTTTTGGAAACTTAGGTTGTTTTCATATCTTAGCTATTGTAAATAATGCTGCAATGAACATGGGGTCCATATTTCTTTTCGAGTTAGTATTTTTTGTTTTCTTTGGAGAAATACCCAGAAGTTGACTTGCTGGGTCATATGGTAGTTCTATTTTTAATTTTATGAGGAACCTCTGTACTGTTTACCAATAGTTGTCAAGTTTTTTTTAACTATACTTTTTTCCTTTATTTTCATTTCCCATCTACTATTGGATCAATTAGAATTTTCTTCTTCTGCTTTGAGAGTGAGATGTTCTATTTTATCCTACTGGTGATTGTTCCTAACTTATTAACACCCCTAGGTTGATCAGTATCTCTTTCTTCCCAGTTAGTTCATTCTAAACTCCATCCTGTTTCTTCCTTCTACCCCACCTACCACCATATTGGGAGTACATAAAGTACATTTTTACTTTAGGATTGCCTTAATTTTTTTTTTTTTTGGTGGGCGAGGCCACACTACACGTCTTGCAGGATCTTAGTTCTCCAACCAGGGATTGAACCCAGGCCACGGCAGTGAAAGCACCAAGTGCTAACCACTGGACCACCAGGGAATTCCCAACCTTAATGTTTTTGTTTTTATGGTCCTGGCTTTTGTATACAACTTAAAATTAACTGTGATATTATAAACCCTAATTTCCATGTATCATGTAATATCATCGTGCATTTATTCTCATTTCTCATTTTCAGAAGGGGTTTCATGCAGTAAAAGCTTTTTAGACTGTATATGGCTGGGAATATTTTTTATTTCTTTTCCATATTTAATAGCTTAGCTGAATATAAAAGTCTAGATTCAAAGTTTTTTTCCTGCAGCACTTTGAAAATATTAACTTGTTGCCTTCTTAAATCCAGGGTTGATGCTTTGAGAGTGAAGATGATATTAATCTGCTTCTTTTTTTTTTTTTTTTTTTTTTTGAGATATGTTCTTCCTCACTGGAAGTTTTTAGTATGGGGTGGGGTGTTTGATGTTCTTAAATTTCACACCAAAAAAATGGAACCAGGCGTGTGTTTTTCTATATCATTTTTGGAACCCTTTCATTTTGTGGTCTTTAATTTTTCTTTAATACTGGGAAATTCTCAGCCATTACTTCTTCAAAGATTCCCTTTTTTCCCTAATCCTTCAGGGACTCCTATTATATAGATGTTAAGACGTCTAGTCCCTTCATTGCCTTGGTTTTCTCTTTTGTTTTGTTTGCATTTTTCATTACCATGTTTTACTTTGTTTGTATTTCCCTCTTTATCCTCTGCTCATGTATTCTGGGAAGTTTATTTGACCTGGCCTTTCAGGTCACTTATTTTGTTTTTCAGTCTCATATATTCTACTGTTTAACTTATCTGTTGAAGCACAGAGTAGAGGTTAAGAATAATGCTTTATGAGTTTCTCCAGTTTCCTCACCTATAGAATGGGGGTAATAACACGAACCCTATAGAGTTGTTTTGGGGCATTAAGTGATCTAATCCATGTAACATGCTTAGAACAATGCCAAGGATATATAGTAAGTGATGGCTGCTATTATTTTTCTCTAACAGTTGTGTTTTTCATACTTCATATTTCTAATTGGTGTTCTTTATAACTGCTTGTCCTTGTTTCATGTTACCAATAAAAATACATTATCTTTTTTTTAGGATGTCTGTTATGTTTAGTTAACATTCTTATTATTTCCTATCCTTTAATTCTGCTTTGTCTCTTATAGGTGCTTCAGTTTGTTGCCTTTAGTTTTTGTGGCTACCTTCTCCCCATGCCTAGTTATTTTGTTCTGTGGATACGTATCTCCTTTGGTAGTGGGTATGGCGGTTGGCTTCTTTGTATGTGAGTGTTTAGAGGTTGAGGGGCTGAAGATGGAGGAGGAGTGCTGAAGGCTGGTCTCAGCTAGGGTTTAGGGAAGGTGGGAAGGAACCCAGGGCTGAGAACCTCTGCCTTGACCATCTGGCCTTGACCACAGTCCTTTCCCACCCCAGCCAGGCAACCCTGCCCCTCAGAGCCTCTTAATCTCTTCTCCCAACCCTGCTCTTTTCCAAGTTCTGCCTTCCTCAATTATAACTCTTCCACCCTTGCCCAGTGGGAGGAAGGAAGTAGAGAAGGTTGCAGGATGTGGGAAGGAAGTTTCTGGTGCCTCTACCTAGTATTACGTGGTCCCCACTGTCTCTGAGTTTGCACGACACCCTGCTGTTAATTCACTGCTCCTAGGCAGTCACTGGACTGATGCTGCTGTTTTCCTGCTTTTTCCTAGCCATGATCCCCTAGGGGGTGATGTGGAGGAAGGCCCTTCCCCAAGCTATCCTGTCTGTGGATCCAGCGCCTCTCACACTCTTGAGGCACTACCTTGTGTCTGTCCAGGGATTTCTCATGGGTTTAGTGTCAGGTTCTCAATCCATCATCCTCTCCCTCTTAATGTCACAGCTTGGGATGAGAGAGGGAATCCAGTTGTCCTTGTCGGTTCTCCATTTTCTCCTGGCTGGAAGTTTATAGTTTTCCTTTTACATCATTATATTAATATTCTCATCTATCAGGCTGGCTTTTAAAATCTGAGAACAATTTCATATATTTAGGAAGCTACCCAATGACATGTATGTGAGGCCAGTTCATCTTGGTCTCATATTAGAGGATTAAGTTAATGAATTAAAGACCGTTATTATAAGAAAAATGTTGCTTTGTAAGGCATCCCACATTATTAAACTTGAGATCAACATTGTAGTAAGGTTATTCTACAGTATCAAAATATTCATCCTGTGTCAACAGGTTACCCTCCCTGTTAATAAATTCAGATTTCCCTGATAGCTTTCTGCTTGTATGAAGAGATTTATCTGACTAAATCATTTGTCCTCTTAAAGCCAATTTCTCCTTAACTGGAACATTCTAGGAGGATTTCAGTGTATGTTGTGTGGTAGAATATCTTACAATTAGGAATTGTGGTAGAATGTATACAACAGGTATATAACATAAAGCAAATTGTGGTTATCATAAAATAGATCTTATCAGGTGAATGAGAATTTCTGGAAAAAAGCCTTTACAGTTTCAGCTTTGTGCTTATCCTTGTTCTAATGTTTTCTATTTCTGTGTTCATCAAAGGTGCACAGTAATCAAAAGGGCTTACTTCCAGAGCCACATCCAGTGCAAATTATGAAAAGTTTAAGCAACCCTGCCATGTTACAAGTTCTTCTGCAGCCACAGCTCTGCGGGCGCACTGTTAAACCAGGTAAACCTCATGTGCGCTCATTAAACGTAGAATGTTGGCATGAAGTTAATTGTGCTGTTTTACATGAAAAACGCACTTAAATTAGTCCAAAGATATTTATTTTTTTGTAGAATTTATCAGTGAATATATAAAATATAATTTATTTTAATGATCTGAGGTGAAAATATGTTCTGACTGTTTTTGATAGGGACAAACTGCTTATGGGTTTCCTGATTTTTTTTTTAACTATTAATAAGTATTAAATATTAAACCTTCACTTTAGTTACTGGTTGACATGAATTTGTAAACCAGGTAACACATGGCTTAATAAGGTAATATTTGATATACGACATTGTTACAGCCTCTATTAACAAACGATATGATACTTTCCTGTGTAATATTTTTGGCAGAATTACTTTGTTGGAAAGTGTTAAGGTCTGTTTCCTCCCTGCTCTTTCTTTTTCATTGTGAAATTGTTTCACTTTTTAGAAAATGAGAAAAACATCATTTTCTAAATATTATGGAAATTTTTATAATATTGGCATACATTAATTTTATCTATTTAGTATTCATTGAGAAGAGTTTATTTACCTTTTGAAATGCACAACGGTACATACACAAAATGTATGTTTTATCATTATGAGGAAATGAATGCCTATATTCAACACTAAGCTTTAGATTACAAATGTTTAGATTAAGTATATTCTGTTTCAGCTCCAACTGGTCTACCACCAACTAGTATATTGCAATTCAGTTCTAGCACCAACTACCTAGAGTTAGCACAGATCCTACAAGTAAGGGCTTTGTCCCCAACAGGTCTGCCCCTACTTCAGTCAGCAGCCACAGCTTCAGAGGTCCCCTGGTCACCTACACTTCTGACTCACTTGCTTCAAATTTGGGCGTTCCTGTGACCCCCTCAGGTTCAATAATTTGTTAGACTCACAGAACTTAGGAAAGCACTATGCAGTAAGTCCCCACCCATACAAACGAGTTCCATTCCAAGAGCGTGTTTGTAAGTCCAGTTTGTAGGTCCAACAAAGTTAGCCTAGGTACCCAACTAACATAGTCGGCTATATAGTACTGTACTCTAATAGGTTTTCACACAAATAATACGTAAAAAACAAACACAGAAAAATAAAACATTTTAAATCTTACAGTACAGTACCCTGAAAAGTACAGTAGTACAGTACAACAGCTGGCATCCAGGGGCTGGCATCGAGTGAACAGGCAAGAAGAGTTACTGACTGGAGCGGGGAGAGGGGGTGGGAGATGGTAGAGCTGAAGGATCGTCAGCAATAGGAGACGGAGGGCAAGCTGCAGTTTCACTCACGCCTGACGTTGACGGCACAGGTTCTGGTTCCGTGCTGGATTCAATTCTACCTACCCTCTTGAAAAAATGGTCCAGTGATGTCTGGGTAATAGGCCTTCTTTTCTCGTCATAGATGACACGGTAGCACTGAATTGCATTCTGTATGGCTCTTGCAACCTTTGTGTACCATTCTACGTTCGGGTCCTGTGCCTCAAAACTAACAGTGCCTCCTCAAATAAAGAAAATCCCCTTGCCACTTCCTGCGTCGTGAATCTCTTCGGTTCTTCAGTTACTTCTGCTTCCTTTTGTCTCTCTTCGTCCTTTCTCTGGGCCTCCAATTCCTGGCACTTCTTAGCAGTACCAGCTATATCACCGCTGCTTTTATGCTTGCCTCCGGACATCCTGGGCTTGAAATAAAGATACTGTACTACTGTACTCTATACAGTACTGTACAGTAAAGTACACAAAAGCACAGCCACTTGTAGAGGATGCACACACGTGACAAGGTACGCCAGTCACGTGAACTAATTTACATGATTGGACATGTGAACACACATCTGCATCTTTGAAAGTTTGCAACTTGAAGGTTCGTACGTAGGGAACTTACTGTACTTATGATTACAGTTTTGTTATAAAAGATGTAACTCAGAAATAGCCTAACCAAGAGACTTAGGGCTTCCAGACCGGAAGGTCCTGACTGCAGAGCTTTTATGCTCTTTCCCCATGGAATCAGAGCACATCTGCCTTGCAGCACACATGTGTATTAATTAGCCAGAACTCCCTGCTGCAGTAACTTCAGTGTCTAGAGTTTTTATTGGGGTTTTGCTATGTAGGCATGACTGGCCATGTTATTGAACTCTTATCTCCAGTCCCCCTCCTCTCCCTGGAAATCAGGAGGTTAAGCTGATATCATATGGCTCAAAGCCCTAGTCCTCTAATCACATGACAGGTCTTTCTGGTATGACCAGCCCCATCCTGAAGCCATCTAGGGGTCCACACTGAGTCACCTCATTAGCATAACAAAGACACTCTTATCACTGGGGAAATTCCAAGGATTTAGAGTTTTCCTTCCAGGAACCAAAGACAAAGACCAGTTAAATTCTTCATTATACCAACAGTGTTCATATTAGGTACTTCATGTAATCATCAGTTATCTCTGTGTAGCTTTAGAGGTAGCTTTAGAGGTGTCCAGCTCAGCCTACTATGCAGTCAGATATCCCTTCTACAATTTTAATGGTATAGAGATATCCTTTGTATGTCTTGACTACTCAAAGCATAGAGCAGCTCATTATTTTCCAAATTTAATTACTAGGTTTTCCCTTATGTTAGATGGTGATTTCTATGACTTTTAGCCAGTTATTCTAGTTCTTCCTATGAGGAAACACAGAATAAATCTATTCCTTCTTCCATAAGAAAAGCCTTCTAATGTTGAAGACAGCTATCATGAAACCTTAGTCATCTTTGATTTTCTTTGTCTTCTGTTCTCCAGACCAGTGGTCTCATTTTATTTGTTTATTTTTTGACTATGCAACTCTATCAGTAAAGTATATTTTTAGTAGAGCCCCAATATATACAGTATATGTATCACTTACATGTCAGTTACCTTTGTCAATCCATATATTAAGAAATGATAAAGCTTAATATTTTTATATTTTAAGAAGAAAGTAAATACAAATAACAGTTCTCTTTTTTAAGAACATTTTTTTTTATTGAAGTATAATTGATTTACAATGTGTTTCAGGTGTACAGCAAAGTGATTCATATATATATATGTATATATTTCAAATTCTTTTCCCTTATATGTTATGACAAAATATTGAGTATGGTTCTCTTTATACACCTCTTCCATTCTCTTTGTAAACTATAGCTCTGTATTTGACTTTACGTAACATGTCATAGGATGCGCTCTCTAGAGCACCCCCCACCCAAGTTGTCCTCTTGTAAAGATACCTAGGTTGTCTGGGTTGCCCTGAAATATGGTGTACACAGACATGAATTTATCCTATAGATGGGTTCTAATCAGCACAGAATGCAGTGGGATTTCCTTCCTATGATCATTATATTTCTATTAATGCAGTCCAAGATTGTATCAGAGTTTAAAGAAGTGTATTACACTCTTGTGTCTCTTAGAAGGTATAGTTCACACCTGGACAATCTTTAGTAACTTCGCCCCCAAATTATTCTTGTCTCATGTTTTCGTTTAAGATATGTATTCTCCACTCTGCTTTTCTACTCGGGTTGGTGTATGACCATATGAGATTAGGCTTTTTTATTTTAGTGCTCCTTTTACTGTTTCAAGAAAGATATTTCATTATTACACTGATAGCTTTTTCTTTGTTTGGAATGGCCAGGGAAGAGGGTTAAATACCTTACCTGAACACATGCAGAGAGAGAGTGTGTGGAAAGTGTCTTGGTGTTCAGGAAAGACAAGCTATCTTGTTAATCAATAAATTTCATTCATTTTTCCTTTACTATGTTTTTTTTTTTTTACTATATCTTAACTATATCCCTTACTATATATCCTGAGCTCTTCGCAGAGGCCTCTGAACAAACTAAAATAATTACAAAGGATCATAATTCTCTGTAATTTGTTTATATTATATGATACATATATACACAAGTGTGCCATATTTTACTGTGCTTCACAGGTGCTATGTTTTTTTTTTTTACAAATTGAAGGTTTGTGGCAACACTGCTTTTGTCAGATGATGGTTAGCATTTTTAGCATTTTAAATTGAGGTATATACATTGTCTTTTAGACATAATGCTATTGCACACTTAATAAACTACAGTATAGCATAAACATAACTTTTACATATGCACCAGGAAACTAAAATAATTGTGTGACCTGCTTTATTGCGATAATCACCTTATTGGAGTGGCCTGGAGCCAAACCTGAGGTATGCCTGTATATGATATATTTGTATTTAAACCCTTTGCCCAAACTTCTTTCTCACTGTATCATGTTTTCAGGTACCTGACAGATATCTACTTATTTATTGCCTTCTCTTCCACTAGACTCGAGGAGGCTCCATAATGGCAAAGATTTATCTGTTTTGTTCATCTCAGGCGCCTAGGACAGAACTGCTATTTATAGTGAAAAGTACTTAAATATTGTTTACTGATTAAACTCCTCCCTTAACCTGTCTGTTGCACAACTTACACATACCTTGTTATATATGATCTAGTTTGTAAACTTTTAACTACTTTTCTGGTCTGCCTTCTTTTCTGTCTGATCTAATCTGTGCACGACCGTCAGGTCGATTTTCCTCCTACACCTACTTTATGTTACTTGAAGCGTACTGATCTTTTCAATCCAGACCTTGTAAATACCTTAAAAAAATACAGTATAGAGTATATACTGTAGATTTCTTTCTCTCTGTCCTTGTGTGTGTGTCTGTTTTAAAGTTTAGTGTATAATTACTTAGAATCTAAATTGTATGTTTAACAGCTTTCTTGAGGTATAACTGCGGCACATTCATCTGCACATATTTAAATTTTACAAATTGGTGAGCTTTAACACATGTATAACCCATGAAACTATCGCCATAATCCAAATAATGAACATATTCATTACTCTCAAAACTTTCCTTTTGTCTCTTTGTAACCCCTCCCCCCATCCCCAGGAAACTACTAATTAGCTTTCTGTCACTATAGTTCATATTTTCTAGAAATTTATATAAATGGAGTCACACAGTGTGTACTATATGGC